CACACACACACACACACACACACATATATATATATACCTATATATAATAGTTATAGTGTTATAGCAACTTTACCAATTTTTATCTTCGAAATAAATGAATAAATAAAATTCCATTTTATCTTTTATATTTCTATTATACTAGACATCACAGACGCGCGCTCCGCGTGTGTTTTTTATTCTTTATACTTTCTACTTGTTTAAATGCATTACATGATATTACAATATACTATTAACTGCTTGTTTCGCACAACTGTCAAAATGACAACATGTCATGATGACAGCTGCTCGCGAAGTAAACGCAATGAGAGAATCAATCAGAATCGCAGAAAACAGGTTTGAAACTTCGATAGATGCAAGTATCGATTTAACATGCCCTTTTCTTAGAAAGGATATAAAAATAATACATAAATTCTTTCAAAATATAAATATTATTAAATTTACAACATAAATTAATAAAGAATATTAATTTAAAAACAAATATACGTAACGCTTACAATACGCTAATTTGCTAAAAAGTGAACATAAAATTTTGCTCTGAAATTTTCAACATTCCACTGGTGTCTAATAACGTAACAGTAAAAAGATTTTGCAGAGAAATGGCCAGAAGTGAAAATATGGCGGATTGATTTATACTATACCGTTTCTATCTGGATTTGTGTCTGCATTATTTTGCATCAGTAACGTTTTGTGTGTGTGTGTGTGTGTGTGTGTGTGCGCGCGCGTGCGCGCGCGCGCGCGTGTGCATGTGTGAGAGAGAGAAAGCATGAATTGGAAGACACGGCAAAAATAGTTTAATAGACGAAGAGAAACATGAATTAAAAGGAAGACTGTCCTATAAAAGTGTTGTGTACACGATCTGTATAGGGGCTGTATAAAGAAAAGTGAGAAGATCGTTGCGGGTCTTTCTAAACGTGGTTGAAGACTTGCAATACTAATTTATTGCATATAAGACAGAGTTTTGACATCGTGGTAAAGAACGAAATCGAATAACACATACCAAAACTCCTAACTCAAGAGAAAGGTGACAAAGAGAAGGCACACCGAGAAAGTCATATCAAATTATAAGATAAAATTCAAAATGAAGCAGATATATATATATATATATATATATATATATATAATGTTCATTTTTTTCGTGCCTTTCACTTGATTCTCTGATTTTCTTTTAGTTCCGTGGTTACTTCATGTAAGTATACAGTTATCTCGTTTTGAATCAAATTTTATCTTATAATTTTATGTGACTTTCTCGATGTGCTTTCTTTTTAACACCTTTATCTGACAATGAGTCAGGAGTCTCGATGTATTATTGGATTTTGTTCTTTGCCTGCACGATGTAAAAACTCTGTCTTATATGCAACAAATCAATATAAGTCTTCAATCACAGAACATTTAAAAAGTGACGTGCAACTCCACTTTTCTTTATACAGCCCCTATATATACACAGACCGTGTGTATCACAACACTCGATCTCACAGAACAGTTTTAAATTCCTTTTGATTCATATTTTTCCTCGTCTATTAATTAGTCTATTTTTTTCGTGTCTTCCAATTGATGCTTTCTCATACACATACGTATAACGTTACTGATGCAAAGTAATGCAGATACAAATCCAGTCGGAGCGGTACAGACCAATCTGCCATATTAGAATTTCTGGCCATTTCTCCGCAAAATCCTTTTACTATTATGTTCTTAGACACCAGTGGAATGTTTGAAAGTTTCAGAGCAAAATTTTATGTTTAGTTTTTTTCCGACTTTTTGCGTTCTCTTTAGTGGAATATGATCATTTGCAATATTTCACTTTTGCATCAGTTATATTATGAAATTTCTAGATATGCGTCAAAAGTTGTTCATAATGACATTGTATGTATACAACATTAAGAAAAACTACTGAAATGATATTTTGTTTACTGGGTATACTAATTATTTAATTGCTGCGAGAAAGCATTATGTAGTTAGCAATTTTTATCATTCAAAACATTCGCTCGGATAAATAGGCTATAATTTGCTTTGCCAGCTTGAATATGTCTTATGTATGCAATCAAATGTATCAAAATGTGTATTATAAAGAAATCTGAGAGGTTTCAAGGTTAAGATAATTGAAAAGAGAGTAAATCAATATCAGTGTGTGCTTTTTAGGATATGTTAGGTTTTGTGATATAAAAAATTATAAATGATGATTGTGATTGTTAGGAAAACGATAAATTTATATCTGTTTGTTAGTAATATATGTATAGTTTAAACTTCACAATGCTTTTTATAAATCTTAATGCGATTATTTTCGATAAAGTTTTAAAAATTGCCTTTTTTTATTAGAAAAACTAATTCTTTAATTTCTTGCATCGCGTATAGTTTGTCTCTAGAATATATCTTTACATTCATAAATCTCCTAATTTTTGAAATTTTTAAATTTTAATTTAGTTTTATTCTATCTTTAATTTTTAAAATTTCTAAATCTTTTTGAGAGCTAAAAGTAATAAAATACTTTAAAAGCAAATTTTTAGTAAAATTTTTAAATTTTCAAACTTTACGTAACTTGTTCAACTTTTCGTTTTTAATATCGAAAATTATGTGCAATAAATGATACATGATGAATTTATGACATTTTCGTCGAATAAAAGTTAGTCATATTCTATATATCTTCCTATCATTAATATTCTTTTGTACATATCTGTAAATTAACAAGAGACAATCTTTTCGTCAAAGCAATACTTTAAAAGAAACAACAGAAAATTATCTATTAAGATTAAAAATTCAAACTAGTGTATTGATAAGCAAGAATTTCAATTGGTTAATTATATGAACAATATCTCTAAAAAATAACAAATTTATTAACCTACTAATTTTTTCTAGGCACGAGCGATTGTCCGTCATTATGATCAAAAATCCAGACACCTATTATATAGTATTTGCTAACGTTCGTGTTCAGACTACATATTGGAGATTGATTACGAATTGAACATTATTAGAATTCAACGAATCAGATAAGTTTAATTTTTTAATCTGTTTCGTTCGGATTGGTCAAATTCTAATCTTCAATTTGCAATCCTCAATCTCCAAAGCGTAGTCTGATACATTTAACGTACGTTCGGATCTTTCGTTTCGTGCACGATTTCTTATTCGAACAATAAACTTATGAAATCAGGAGGACGCGTCGAGGACAATCTCGACGATTGTGACGTACAATCATTCGTCGACCATCAGTTCAAAGTGTACGGCACCCTTTTTTTCGGATCTATATGAACTGTATTTGATATTCTTCGCCCATGCCCGGCACTCTACGTTGATGATCTGATTCCCTACAAAAGAAAAGTTTGATTTGAAATAAAACTTGTAGAATACTCATGGATTATATTTTAAATTTTGACAAATTCGGAATATTTTATTAAAGAAAATTTTTTATATAGAAACTTTAATAAAATTGTTACTTTGAATACGGAATAGCGTGACGTTTTGGGCATTCAATTTTCTCGTCGAACTAATTGAGACACGACCTGATGATTTTCGAATACATAATAGCTGGTCTATAATAAATTTTACATTTTATCACAATTTTAAAGTTATTTATATCTATTAAATATAACAAACTAAAGAATATTTGTCATTGTATATTTTTACTTTCAAAACATGCATAAAACACATGGTCTATTTTTAACATCTGTTAAACCTTTAAATAAATATAAATTTAATAATTTATTAAGTTATAACAATATATTTTATCAGTTTGTATATTATATTAATAAAAATCATAAATTAAGTCTAGATGTAAGCACAATATATATAGGACAAAATGTAAGATTTATATAAAATAACACGTAAAATCTTTAATATTATTTACTATATATACAATGTATATATTGTTGCAATCTTCGCGAATAGTTTACATATCTAAAAAGGAATATAAAATTTACGAAAGATTAGCAAAATAGGATGAGATTAAATCACAAGTGCAGCTTTGAATATGAGCATACAGGCCGATGACACACACCTTTCGACGACCGATTCGTGCTGCAACACACCGGCTTTTACCGGTTTCATCTGGAGTGCGTCATTTGTTTACGAGTCACATGAACCAGTCAATGATGGCAGTTTCAATAAAAATTGTGTATCCATACATGATAAGTGTTTTAATTGCATATCTCGTTGTATACATTGAATAAGACCATAGCATGAAAGATTCAGATAATTTTAACTGTCATTTGAGGCTTTTAGAAATTTTAACGTTACAAGAACGATAATAAAAGCTTCAAGTTGCTGTATATAGTTATATAGTTCTTTGAAATATATATTATTAACAAATTTATTTTATAATATTATTAATATAAAAATTAAATATTATTTATTATATGAAAAAATTTAAAGCTATACTGTGATTTGGGATTTTTTGCATTCTTGCAATATTCTTTTGAGATAAACATTCTCGTTTTTTATTCTTGTCATATCAGGTAGTATTTGATGTTAGTTATTTGATTAACCTACTTCGTGGCCGAAGAAAATGGACGGCGACGACTGGACTTAAATATCCGGGAGTATTTTCGTATGGATAATAGAATCCTGGGAAGCCGTGTCCCTTAGGGTAGTAATTCAATTCGCCGATACTTTCCCGGTCATGAGGATCCTCTCCTTTGCAAGATACCCATACGGTATTTAGCTATAATATAAAAAAAAATGAATTGCATATTACTTAGTGAGTTTTTGATAGTAAAATTTTATTTAAAATTACGTAATAACAAATAATTCTCAAAGTTATGGTTAAACAAAAGTTGACTGAAATTTTCATTTAAAATTCCTTAAATATTTTTTTAAAGATATTTTAGAATTATTACTAAACATACATGTATGTTGAAACTTGTCTGATAAAAATTAAATTTTATTTTAAATTAGTGCCTAATTATACTTTTTGCATACCAGAGGAACGTATTCTTTATTATTTTTATATTTGCATAAGCTTCTGCTGTTATGCAATGTTTGTAAAATATTTGATACAAGGTGCCGATAATATTACATGTATATAACATTTATATCGTATATAAGAATTGTTATCACAATGTCAGTAAAGAACGAAGAGATTGAGTGAAAGATAATCGAGTGATCTTCATTCAATTTGCAGTTATATTCCATATGGATCAAACGTATCTTACGTACATGTACATAAATGTACACAATTAACACAGGTTTACAACCTTTATCCTTGTTTGGCTGAATAAACAGATAATACATCTACTATAAGAAGACTAATCGACAACAATTAGATAAAAATGAATTGATATTATCATGACTTTATTGAACGTTAGATTCTTTCGTTAGATTCTTTTTTCATTCTATTACCAAGTTTAAAAAACAATTTCAAATAAAATCCTTCGTTCTTTATTTTAATTCCTAACTATTAAATTTCTTAATTTTTATAGGTTCTCTCGGATCTAGGAATAAACGAGAATTCATAGACTATATAACGCACAAATACGCGTTGCGAAACTAAACGCTGAATTTTCTTTCCGATCTTCGTTCAACCCAGATTTAGTTTATCGACTGATATAATTGACTGACCGACTAACTAACCCATGAAGCGTCGACTGACTTTATGTATTTGACTAGACTTTCTGGCATTTCGGACGGCAAATTCTCAGTATCGTTATAATACTCGGGAATCCATCCATATATCTGAAAAATAACATTTTAAACAATTTTTAAACAAGCATAATTACATCGTGGAAACAATAAAAAATTAATATTGTCTCTATTAAACGTATATTTAGCAATCAAAGCATAGATGTAAAACAATATTTCGTCGTGTATGAGTACTATGAAATTTTCATATAAAAAAGTTAAAATTTTGAAAAATTTTTTCTACATAATTTTTAGATGTATTTTCTATTGCTAGTTTATCTTAATTAGTTTAGACAAAATTTAATAAGTCTCAAGATATTAATTTCATTTGAATTATTAATATTCCTGAACATTTAAGATAATTAAGAAAATATCTTTTTAGGGAATAAATACCCTGTTGAGTTTAATGAAAACGCAAGGCGCCGAGTTGTTGAAGCCATATTGTTGATTCGGAGAACATGGTCCCCAATTGTTCACGTCGATCGCACATACATTACCAGACTTTGCTGGCATGGTGTAACTGCAGATCTGTTGGTTTCTACCGCCATTTGGCAAAAGCGACGAATTGATGTAATCTATTCAAGTAACAGAAATATGATTGATTTATACTTAATTTATAATCATAAAGAATGAACAAATTGTGAGAGTCACAATAATGCAATGTGAAAAGAATATACAGGGATCGAAGAGTTCAGTGTTCATGCATTAATTATATACCTAATTTAAGTTAACAAGCATTGCCATTATCGATTGTAAATCGGTGGAAGCCTTATTACTCACTTTCTAAAAATGTGTCCAGACGTTGCGTCCATTTTCGTATTTCGGTCGCGTTTGTTGCGTTGTACCAAACAAGTGATCTCTCATCGGGGTTCTCCGAAATAGGTCGGAATCCCAAGCCTGATGATTGCATTGACAAATGCAATCGAAAAAGTTGAGCAAGTTAAATACGAATTATGTGCACTATAAATAATTATTTCTATTCAATAATATATCGCGGATTCAATGTATATAATCATTTAAATAATACAATTTACTTAAAAATTTTGCAATTTAATTATAAAATCGGTTACTCTGTTGATAATTTAATTAATTAATTACTTGTTACATAAAATTAGTTTATTCATTATTTTTTCTTATATTTCCACAATGCATATAATGTATAATAAATGTTCAATTAACGTTGACATTGTATAAGTCTATATAAAGATTTTTTATAAAATGACAGACATCATTAATTTTGTTGTTATTATATAAAGATTCCTTTAAAAAAGAATGAGCAACTCAGTGTTTATTTGTATTAGTCTTTGTTAATTTTTATAAAAAATATTTAACGTTTTTCAATGAATGTATGCTTGTTTATAAAAGCGCATGAAAAGTGCATGAAAGTGTTATCGTATCTATGTATATAATAATTAATATAATATAATAATAATATGTACATGTATAATAATATAAATCATGACAAATCATAACAACAAATCAATATTACATTTATAGCAACACAACTGATTTTATATTTTATACGTTTTCTAAGCAATTGTAAAACATTAGATACATTTAGGAAACATATACATATACAATAAAATGTATATAAATTAATATGTTTTACTTGGACATATTTTACTACTGTTAAAGTTTCTGAAAAAGTAATATTATGTTCAGCATCACCAAAAAGAAACGTATAAATTTATTTGTCAAGAATATTATTTTCAAAAAAGTGATATATGTATATTATATATAAATAAGAAATGACCAAATTTTGTTTTACAAAATACTTTTTTTAGACACGATTGGAGCGAATAATCTCTACAATCTCTGCAAAATCTTACCTGGATTAGTACCTATGAGGCTGCTACTTAAAGTCCACTTGGGTTTCTCGTAACTCAACGTAGCGAGCATGCCTTTCATGCAAATGGTGAAGAGTATCGCCAGTCCGGCGTAGAAGCAAGCGTAGAAGATAAGAGTCATGCCTAAAGAAAAAAAAACCGTGGGAGAAGATTATTAATCTATTGTCTTCTATAAGTTTGCGTATATATTCTGTACAAAAACACTTCTAATTATGCTACTAACTATACTTCTAGGTCTATTACGTAAAAGTGTATAATAAACTAAACAAACAAACGGATTAATATGAATAGATGAACTTAAAAATATCCTTATAAAACGAGATAGATTTTTGAAAGGTTTAGCAATCTCTTGGCAAATTAAAAAAGAAACAATGTGCAAAGCATGCGAAATTTTTTTATTCAAAAAGTTGAACTCTTAGTTTTGATATATTTTCGCAATTTTATGAGAAAGAGGGAAGAAGAAGGAGAGTAGAATAGAGTTTTATCACGCTATTTATACTCATTGACGCATTTCGGTGTCGTTGCGTGATCCAAATATTCATCGCGCGTGAATACAAACGTGCCGAAAAAAAATCATAGCGCGAGTAGTTGATGCATGAGCGCGTATCTTCCTCTCTTCCTATATACAAATATACACACATTTTCTTTTTTCCTTTAGACGGATCTAAACTCGCAATTTGGCGTCACGACCTACCTCGGTCACACTTCACTTATGCAACCGCGTAGATGCGAAAATTTTCGTCATTTCGTTGATCGAACGGAAAATATTTAAAGCATAGGGCATCGTGCCAGCGCACGCTCTAAATATAGATTCTTTTTCAGAAGCAATGCGAGTCGCTGCAATGAGCGGCCAACTGCCGCACCATACTATTAACTTGAAAAAAAGTTGGAATATTTCTTTGAAAATTAAAGTGTTCCGTAAACACTTGAACCAATACAGCACTTGCATATTTTATATACATATATATTTCAATATGTTCAAAAGTTTATTCATTTTATTCGATGTAGCTTGATTTGCATTTGCAAGATGACACCTATCTTGAAGAAGAAGATTCGTTTAAATCTGCTCAGTCAGTTAAATGTAACTCAGTCAGTTTGTTGCTTTTCTCTATCAATCAAATTAATAGAGGCACAATAATAATTCTTATCATCTCTACGAAAGCCCCAGTTGGCTAGCATAAAGACGACTGTGATGAAGATTTATTCTCGACTGAGCATTAGAAAGAGATCGGATAAGCACTTAAAATAATTGATAATGCAACCTATAATAAATCGATCCATTTTACAAGGTTTAATTTAATCATAATGCAGCAAGACTATGACTATATGACACATAAAGTGTTACAACAGTTTGATCTGACATCAAAAGTTTAGAAAATTTGTGATAGAAATATAAATCTTGAGAGCATCTAACAAGAAGAATAAGAAATTTAATAATCATTTTAATGTATAACGACTATTATTGTTTTTTTGTCTTACAAACGTAAATATTTATTACTAAGAAATGGTGTAAAAGTTATTTTGAAATATCTCAGTGAGAAAGGAATGTTCCTAACGAAATTGACGTTTAATCACGAGTATCTATGGTACACGATGTCTGCTATTATATGTCTCTGAAATTGAGGCGACTTTCAAGTAAGCGCTTATCGAGCTACTCTCTTATCATATCTCCCTCAAGGTGTCGACGTTAAGCGCTTTAGCTTAGATTTCTCGAATCGTTCCTGATAACTTTTTCATCGCGTCATTATTTTCATCCGCATCATGAACAATCGCGCAGCGCGATACATTAGAGTCATAACAACATGCGCTACGTGCAAGTACATACATGATACTCGAAACGACAGTTTTTTTTGTTACCTATAACATAATATACATATTCCGTGTAAGTTTTAATGTATGGGTAGCTTGCTTTAAAAAAAATTACTAAAATGATAATCAACGGCTAAAGACGAGCAATTCAAGGTGTTAAAAACTTTATTCTTCAATTTTCTAACATAAAACGTAATGAAAAATTACTAAATATGCGTTGCATATAGTGCGGCAATAAAAGTAGATTTATTTTGAAACTGTCTGCAATTATTAATTATTTAATAATTCTACCAATGTAAATTAATTTTAATCTCACAGTCAAATTAACTTACTTTTTATGTTTTTTCATCTCTCTAGAATAAGGTAAAGAATAAATTAAACTTAAAATTAAAATTAATCTACATTGACAAAAATAAACTTAAAGGTTTCAAACTATCTAATAAAATAAAATATTTTATATCATGCTGAGATATAGGTAGTGTGCGGATTAAAATCATAATAAACCATATTTCGATAAAATTTGTGTGTGCGTTAGATTAATTTTGAAAGTCACTGTGTTTGAAAAATAAAATTTTAAAGATATACAATACAACATTTTTTAAAAATATGGTAGGCTATTTGGCTATTGTTTTTTGTACTATTTTACTTTAAAGATATTTTACATAAAACGCTTAAATAGAACTATGAGCTGCAAAAAATATTAAATTATAATCAAAATAAGTACTGCACGTTTTTGAATAAAGATGGAAAGAGAAGAATTTTGAAGAATTAATTAACGAAGACATTTAAATATTACGAAAAAGCACGATATATATATGTATACGAGTACTCTCTCTCTCTCTCTCTCTCTCTCTTATATCTTTTTCTGTTAATTTTTTTCCCAATGGAATCTTCTACAAAACAGTTTTAAATGCGTAAAGAAAATGTGTTTTCTATTTATCACTATATACTGGTACACTAGAGCCACAGTGGTGTCTGCGCTGTCCATAGCTTCAGAATTTCCTTTTGGTAAACCGAAAGCAAAGTCGTCCGTAAGATCGGAAATACTGAATTGGTAAAACATATTTTGGAACAGTACACTCGAGTCTGAGAGATAAGGCTGGAAAGCTTCAGATGGGATTTACATAGTGCGGCACGATAATACTCACAGCTGCACGTGATCACTGGCGTTATCATCACCCGGTTGTTGATCTACCACGCGTAATGCCTACGGTCACGATAATTCGCGAGAACCAGGAAATTGTATGGCAGACATCGGTACGCCTTGAGAAGTCGCCTGATATCGGGATTTCCCTCAAGCTGAGCAAATAACATGTATTCTAATTCTTATTATAGCGATTTAAAAAAGTACAAGGAGAATTAATTGAGTTTAAGACGCTCTCTTCTACTATCTGTCACAGAGATAGATGTCTCGTAGATATCATGAAGGTGGATGTACCGTTTGAGCTCTGTTGCGTTTGAATACTTAAAAGGCTCAAGTCAAACGGTAATTTAAAAGATTTAAATCGAACTGACAAATTGCAATAAGAGAGAAAGTAATTTGTAATTGAAAATCGGCAGTTCATACTTCTTATTTCGATTTTGCATTTGCTAGCGAAGTATGAATATGAGTCTTTGCGGAAATATTGCATATGCAAATTACTTCGACTCAGAGATGTTCTTTGACATTGTTCTCCACGCGCGGGACTCTCGGTGTTTTAAATGCCGTACTGTACGCCGTTTGCATGGCGTCGAAATTCAAGAGCGATAAAGTTTTTTCCGCAAAACACCATTTTCTTTTTTATTTGTAGAAAATTCTATTCGATCCTCATTGGTCACACGAGAATTTAGTGACACCGAAGCCGCGTGAGAATTGAATTTGATTAGCGTAAAAATTTACAGGCGGAATTACATGTATACATGTTTACATATATGTACATCCATGTAGCTGGTATCGCGGTAAAGACACAGCAGCACACTTGCTAATTTATGACTCGTCGCATATGTGCGGTTATGCAAATTTTTCAAGATCTTTATGAATCAGATATTCTAGCAAAATGATAATTTGACGCATGTCAAACTACTCTTATTGTTAGTTAAGACCAATATAATTTTTACAGTAAATTATCATTTAATTAATAAATATATTAGAACAAAATCAAAATACTATATTTAAAAAAAGAACATATCTATTTTATAATCATTTCTCCATTCTGTCGTACCTTAATATGTCAGTCAATAGTTTTTTAATAGTTATTAGAATATATCATGAAGTTTAAATATATGTGTTTCCTTAAAAAAAGATTCATTCGTCGTGAAACACCTGTTGAGCATCATTGTCGACCTCGTGCTAATCCACATTGCGTTATACATATGTCCGTGAGGTAAAGGGATCGAATAGTCAGAAATCTGGAAAACGATTTTTCTGCACGCCTGACATGTATGTACATACATTTGCATTAAAGTTCAGTCAATCAAACTATTTGAGATGATAAAGAAGTACGTTTCATGTATAAAGAAGCACATTCCAATCATGCGTAAATAGAGCGACCGTCGGATTCTATAGCTGTCGATAATGCGGTCGCGGTATTCGATCGAGACATAAGAAAACACGTGTATTTCTCGTGAACACGCTGCTCGGCGACTGGTTCCTCCTGTGCAGGAGGAAAAGAATGACATGATGACGTCAGTTTAGTGAAAAAAAGACGATATTCGTGATAACACGAATTATCTTGTCATGGATCTTATCGTCGGGAAACGACATTTTCCTGGCGAATGACATTGACGGTGCATGCCGTTGTGTAACTTGTAAATTATAAATGTTATTATACTTATCATTTCTTTCAGTTTGACGAACAAAATGTTTTCTTTTGTTGAAATATTTATGTATTCAGACGTAAAGATTTTCTTTAAGGCAAAGAGAGAGAGAGAGAGAGAGAGAGAGAGAGAGAGAGAGAGAGGAGAGGAGAGCAGAGGAGACGGTTCTCAAAGAAAAATACTTAAATAGAATGTTATTTTTTATCTTACATTTTTGAATAACGGCTATTTGACAAATCGCATGTTTTCTGCTTCTGTTGAAATATTTATGTATATGATAAACGTATTATGTAAAGGTTTTCCTCTACGTAAAACGACGTAAAATCTCAAGGAAAAGTACTTAAATAGAATTTTCATGTTATATTTTTTAAATAACAGTCATTTCAACAAATCGATATCAAGACATTTATGGATTTGTACATAAAGGTTTTCCTCTGGGGAAAAGAATATAAAAACCTCAAGGAAAGGTACTCTTAAATAAAATTGTATTTCTTACATTTTCTAATAACTATACTGTTAAGTGAATAATTATTGAGTTCCGTATTTTTCCTCAATTTTATTTATATTATAAGTGCGTTTATTTATTTCTAAAGTTCTATAGCGTATGTAAATGTTAAATATATCTGTACTATATGCTAAATGCGCGTTTAAAGGCGTATACTTATCGATAAAAGTGAGGTACATGAACACAGACCTTGAGTTTTTATCTTGATCTGTTTACAAGTTTAGCATTCTAAACGTATAATATATCAAAATTCTTAGGAAATAAGATTTGTTATTTCAAGAAACATTGCAATTGCATCATCAAAACTTTACGGTAATTAATGTCAATGTATTACGCAAACCGCGCAAAAAGTAAGATCGGCGAGAATAAGAAATAAAAATTAATGAAATTGAAATTGTTCATAGGAAGGTTGACGTATCATTAAAAACGTACATTAAAAATACAACTGATTTTAAACGTGAAATTAAGCAGGCACACGTGCCGCGTTAATTAATGTCGTCATAATCGTCACTGTAATATATCGATGCGATAAATGCAAATAAATGTACGAACGATCAGAAAACATATAAAAAGCGAATGGCACTTCATATATATCTTTCGACGATTGTTGTATAATACAAAATACGTTTGCGATTAACGTTTCTCTGACCTAAAGCGCGCCACGATCACGTTTCACCGACCTCTACTGTATTCTATTACGCAACATTGCTAAAGAAGACATGTTTGGAATCGATGTTACTAACTCGAGAGCCAAGACTCTATGAGGCCATAATTTACTCGAAATTAATGCCGCATTGATTATAGTCTTCCTCGGATTCAAAAAGTCATTATAAAAAAGTATAATTTAATGCTTATGGAGTTCATTTTTTATAATATAACACGTAACCGGTTATTAATTATAATTAATATACTTTGATTAAGGTAAAAATTTTTAGTTATTAAATGAGCAAGGTATACATATATCATAAGACTGATATTTTTTTTTTCTCTTACCGAAGACTTATTGTTAAAGATGATGTCAAATCTTTTCGTATACTTTCTGGAGGAATGCTGATCTAACTCATTAGCGTATCTGCGAAAGCAATTTACTCAGATGCACCTGGACGCCTTTGGACACATTATTTTTAGCAGTTGGCATGCACGCAATAACATTTGAAACGTTGCCCTAACGAAGGCACAAACGTTAATATAACTTTACATCATTTCCATATTTTTTAATGTTCTTCATTTCATAACTATTTATTATAACTAGTTTTTTATATATTGATATAAAAAAGTTATACATAAATAATTAACTTTTTCAATCTGTATACAATAATTGCAATTTTGTTTATTAACCAAATCTTAATAATCCGTTAATTAATAAATCGTTCTTTCAGCAGAAATTTCAGTTTAGCAAACGGAATTTCTTGCAATTGCAAGAAACCAAATCGAGAAGTAGCTCTCTCTTAAGTAGATAAATCAGCTCTCTCTTGTGTTTTCGGATCTATTCAAATTCAAATTGTAATTGAAAGGAAGACTTCTCGAAGAGAATAACATTGTAAAGACTTTATCAAAGATCGTGTGACGAGTCAAATAAAACTTTCACAAATCGTTCTCTGTGTCGTAAGTTATATCTCTAACAAGAACAACTATCTTGCAAAATGCAATGAAGTTTCCTGACTTTTCTGAGGATATTAAGAAGATTATAAAATCGTGAGAGATGTGAAATCCAAGTGCATTTCATAACATTCAACGAAATCCAACAAATAATATTTATCGTTAAAAAAATATATTTAAGAAAAAATTAATAATATCATTGAGAGAAAGATATTGTCTCTCAGCACACAATAAATTGAATTAACATGGATATGACTGATGAACACAGCTGCGTTCTCAAATACATTCGCTAGTAATAGAATCTTGAGAAAAGCTTCGTCGAACGTTATGACAAAATGTTGTGTATAAAGAAAAAAGGGAAACGTTTTCCGACATCAATTTGCTAAGTACGCGTTCTACTTGTAGCGCGCGATTGACATGATTCATATCTTAAGATTTGGAAGAAAGGCGGCGCGGCGCGCCGGGATGGCCAAATGCCCCCTTCGCTGCTTCGCAGGCTCCTCTCGCTATGTGTTACCATCACCGATACTTATTTCCGGTGCTCTCTCGCACCAGTCGCTGCCAAAACGCGAGGCTCAGGGTCGGCTGCTTCTAAGCAGCCGCCAAGGAGTCTACATAAGACGTTCTCAACATATATATACTTATGCGCATATACACACGTCAAACGTTGGACATTTCACTTTTAATACCTTTAATACTTAAAACCCTTTAATACCTTAATACCTTTTAATACTTTAATATCTTTTAATACTTTAAAACCCTTTAATTCATTATGTCGTAAATAAAAATGAATTATCACGCAACTAGATTAAAAGATTAATTTAGCCAATTAATGAAATTAATTTCTAAGTTTATTATACTTAATGATTAAAATATATTCATTAATCGAAATACTGTAAGAATATAAGATTTTTCTATATGCGTTCAGAAATTACATTTTTTCTCTTCAACCGATTGAAAAGGCATCGTGCTTCGAATATTTTTCGATAATCTGTCGATAACGATAACGTTACGATGCTTTCTCTCGATAATGATAACACTACGATACGTCCGTTTATTACTCATGTTTACACAATCTTTTTGTTCTTAAATTACTATCAAGAGGTATGTCAGACTTATTAGAAATCTGACGTGTAAAAACGTAATATTAAATTAAAACATGGAATTTATATAAAAAAAAAAAGGTTATAATCATAAAAAATTCAACATAATTTATTAAAAATAGATAAAAATTTGAAAAAATTGTTTGAAATTTTTAATAATAAAAAATATGCGATTAAGAATTATGTATGTATTTATAGACAATAACATAAGATATTCGTGTTTAATATTTCTTTAATCAGAAAAGATTGTATTTAAAACTTTTCATCATACAGTTTCACCATACATTTAATGTTATATTTCTGTATCTCATTACCTTTCGTTTTGATGCAATTAAGAAGTAGAATTCAATAGCAGCATGGTATAAGCTTATAGATTGTTTATGTGTGTGAACATAGATACGTGTATATATTTTTAATTATACGTATCATAAACATAGATTTTGTAAAGCCCATATTATTCATTGGAGATTGAGGATTGTGAATTGGAGATTAGAATTCTCTCTTTCTCTCTCTCTCTCTCTCTCTCTCTCTCTCTCTCTCTCTTTCAACTAATTAGAAGGAAACAGATTAAAATCAAAATTATCTGACCAGTCAAATTTTAATCTCATTTCTAATTCACATTCGTAATCTCCAATCTTCAATGCGTAATCTGAAGTAGGGGTTTCGATATTTTGAAAACACAATTTCAGCAACACAAAATTACTAATATGTGTACATGTAGGAAATGGAACATAAAAAAGTACAATTTCAGATAGTCGAGTGACACGATTAAGTACGTGTGACGTCTATAATGACGTTTTACAGACCGAAACAAATGTCATCATGTCGTCTTTTATAACTCTGTTACTCTGTTACTTGGAATGGAGAGAGAGATTGCTGCATATCAATATCCTACATTAAAAGATAATGAGATTAAGAACATCAGTTTTATTTGAACTGAACGTAATCACAAACTCGACTTAGTATTATGCTACAGAAGTACCGTTACATTCTTGATTGACTTACTGTAATTCTTAAGAAATATCGATCGTAAAAGTTGACGAGGATTATAAGATTTCCGACTTAATGGAAAAAAACAGTAATTCTTCTAATTTAATGTCGGCAATAATACGAATATAATTACTGTCTTTCTTGTAATTAAAATTTTTTGTTGTCTACAAAAAAAAAATTTCATATTCTCAGAAACGAAACCTATATTCTTAATGTCTATTCAATTTTAGTGTTAAATAATGCATTAGTATTCTACTTTTAAATTTAAATCGATGTTAATCAAATAAACTTCTTTCTTAATATTAAAATGTTCTCCAAAATTTATCGAAAAAAAACATAAAAATTCTCGAATCTTGATATTAGAATGCAAACTAATAAATATTAATCTGAAATAGTTATGTAAGAAGAAGTTAGCATTGCCAGATAGCACCAATTTTAATTTTACATGTGAAATCTATCATTATAATTTATATTTGCATAAAATAAAAGTAATAATGCTATTTTAAATTTGAAAAAAAAAACATATCCGAGAGGAAAAGCCGTTCCACCTGCGCTTTAAATATTTACGCCTGTTTTCAAAGTGCTCATTTTAATAAATTTTAAATCTAACTTTTTATTTTTAAACAATTTATAGAAATAATACTTTATTAAAATTTTCTACTTTTTTTTATAATGTCAATCTTTATAAAAACGCAAGTACCGATCGTGTCAAAGTAATTTTCAAAAAACTGTAATGTAAAGTAGCACGAAAAATTTTTTTAGTAATACCTCTCAATTTTTTTACGGAATTCTAATATTAATACCATTACACACACAATGCTTTGACATCATTATTCGAGTAATAATGTAGAACTTTTAAGTTTTATTTTCATATATCGAATAGTAATTATAGTGCTGATTCGTCTTCAACTGTTTGAATATCTGTCTAAAGTGTTTCACGAAGTTCTAATATTAACATAATACTTCAATATATCCATTTTCCAAGTAATAACGAGTGGAACTTTTTAAGTTACTTTTTATACATTCAATCGTGAATAGTGTATTCGATAGTATAATATAATAATGTTTCACACTGTATCATTCAATTTTCAAATAATAACGAGTAGAGAACTTTAAAAGTTCTTCCTTTTTGTATATCCATCCAATCGTGCAACTAAAAGTCTTCAACTGTTTTGACTATCTGGGTGTTTAAATATACAAAATATTCGGAATGACTTACCCCATTTTTTAGGCGGATGACCGCAGTACGTCCCCTCCTGTGGATTGTAGATGCCATCGCGAATGATCTCCCAGCGAGTTCTGGTATCGGGTACTCGCATGTAATCGAACTCGTAAGTACCATTTTGCACTTGCTTGCCGCGCACACTCATCACGACGAATGCTATCGACTGCTCTTTGATCGGTCAATCGGCAGGTAGGCTGCGAGGTGTCGTAGGCAGGTCGGTCTTGTCAACCTTCACGCGCCGAGCAACTCATGCGGACTGATACGCGGAGATAGCGGGAAACGCAACGCGACCGTACCGGTCTTCGCACTTTGCCTGAACTGGGAGAGCCTCGCTTGTGGTTAGCGATACGTAGGTAGCGAGCATGCGGGCGAACGAGCGAGCGAACGGGTGAAAAACGAGCGACTGCCTCGTGGAGGGGCAAGACGATCGCGCAAGCATGATCTCTTAGACACGCTACGTGCCGATCTGGCTTGTCGAGTTTGGCGCGGTGAAATGATTTTATACAAATTTACAAAAAGGAAAAATATATACAATAATAATACAAGGATCGAAACGCTTGACATTATCGCGTCACAAATATCATTTGTCTTTTATGCAATTGTTACAGAAATAGTTATTGACGATAAAAGTGTTTATACTGCCTTCTGACTTTCTAATTTTTCTTCATTTAATTTTATATTGGAGAACATTTTTATCTTTTCCATTGATTTTAAGAAATATGAGAGAGAGAGAGATTATATTCATATAAATTTCGAAATAACTCTCGAACGTAAACTCGATGACTGTTATTTAAAAACTATATAGTATCTTTTTGTTTAATTAAATTCTTTTAATAATCTTTTGAATGTTTAAATTACTTTTATTATTTGCAAAATTAAAAGCAAAAGTGATGCACTTTCAATAATTTCCAATTATTTAATTCTTTGAATACACACAAAATTCCTCAACTAATATTTTAATTTTTATTATTAAAAATCATTTAAAATGCATAAATAAAAGACTAATCGTACTACATATATGTACATACATACATACATACATACATACATATTACATGCATTCTTTTAGGCTTGTATTGGCTTCAGATTGAATTTTATAGTTAGTCTAGACAAATTAATTATTTTATTTCTTATTTAATTTATTTTATTCATTTATTTTGCCCAGAACAATTTTGGTTTAGAGAAAAATAATTAATTAAGAAGAAATAAATTTTAGAATTAAAAAATTTGTAACAAGAATTATCAATTATTCCATTTAACTTGAAGAGGTTTAAGGTTACTTTTCGCTGTGTTCAATATTGTAAAATAAAAGATTATTAATTCATATCTTCACTATTTTATACCTAGTATAAGTTATACATAAATATGACTTTGGGAATACATAAATAAATAAAATGTCCAGATCTTAAACAGATATTTGTTTTTATACACATATATTTCAAATATAATTTTGTAAAATTACTCAGACTTGACCCCATATCCTTTCTAATATATATATCAAAAATTTGAAATCTTATGATTATTTAAACTTTGAAACAGTTGAAACTTTCGTCGTCATAAACTAATTATTTATTCGGAAAGATCGAGTTTAAATAAAAAATTTTGAGTAATATATTTTTATCTTCATCAATTCTATACAATTATGTGTAATATTCATGCAGAATATAAACATTTTGGAATATACTTATATTTGCAATTTGAATTCATCTGTAACTTTTCTTCAATTCTGTAACTCGAAATCTATCGACAAGAAGTAAATTACGATTCTCGAAATATCGATATGATCGAAGCAGTTAAGTCAATTTAACCAGAGAGAAAACTAACACGAGAGAGAAGATTACGACCTTTTGCATGTTACCGATGTTACAATACTTTAAAATGCCCTCGTGCACTAACGCCCCCTGAAGAAGTGGATGTAACTATATAGCAATATTCACTTTTCTGCACTGTGGGTATGCAATTTGTGATGCGTGTCCATATTACATCCTCCAACTATCGCGACTGCTTTATTCACGAAAGATTGTACATTCGAAAATCATGTTTTTTCTCAGATTACGGATATTTCCGGCGAGTAACAGTGTTCGATTTTGTTCCATGTTATGTATATCGTTTGGTTCTATTCTATATGCTATATGTATGTATACAAAATATAATGATAAATTTAAGTTATCTTTCCTTACGTGGCGTTTAAATAATTATGCAAAAAATATAACGATTTTATTAATGAATTCGGTCTCGAGACCGCGCGGGCGGAATTAACGTGCCTTTTAAATAAGAGACAAAAATCTATGTACAATAGTTTACCAATTTTATTAATTAGTAAATTAAGAATCCCGCTTCCGTACGTGGCGATTACATAATTACGCGAAAAGTTTGACAATTTATTAATTAGTATTATTTTATTATTATCTGTTGTAAATTAAGCAAACTAAAGATTTCTAAAAAAGCAGTGTCTTTTCTTTGAAGACTCGCAGGAAGCGCATATGCGTGCGATCTATTATTATTTTTTGTAAATTAAGAAAATCAAAATTTCTAAAAAAGCAACTTTCTATACACTCCAAATACAAGTGTGTAAATGTGTAGTCACATTTTACGCATTTATACGCGTGTTATATTACTTATATTCTTACACATTTTATCTGCATTTTAATGCATATTTTTTACACGTTTGCACATATTGTAAAATTAACCGTGTAAAAATATGCATTTAACTGTGTAAAACACAGATAAAATGTGTAAAAATGTTACTACAGATTTACACACTTGGATTTGGAATGTACCGTCAAAAACTTGCAGGAGGCATACATGCGCGCGTTTTATTAATAATTAAAATGAGTAAAATAATTAATAAGTAAATTTTACAGTAACGTATGCGCTTCAAAAAATGTCAATAAAACGGATAATCGCTAAAATATTTAACACGGCAAAAAATTTCTCAAATAAAACTAAATATTAATATATATAAACATATACAAAAGTATAAAATTATATATGATTATATATAATTTAATGCGAAATATATCCATTCATATCCATATACGCTCCTTTTCTTAAAATTATTGTTTGATGACAAGAAAAATGATAATAATAATAAGAAGAAATAAACATGAAAAACAATTAAAAAAATAATTTTACAAAGGAAAGTAACATATAAATATATAAATATAAATATATATGGACATATATAATATAAATATATATGGACACATTTTGCATATAATTATGTATAATTATATATTTTTATATGTTTTTATATAAAAATTATTTCGCGGGAGTTTTAATAATAAAATATATTTTGTTTGATATATTATACATCAAAACATTTTTGAAATGTAAATACTCGATTGTATTATAATAATAACATAGACATTTCGATTAAATACCACTGTGACTACAGAAAAACTTAATTAACGTTTTTGTACGAAATTATGATTTAAGACAGAAAAGACGCTCAATTATGCTAATTACGGCCATTTAACTATGCACTCACAGCATTTTGAAAAAAGTAAATTACAATTGCAACGCATGGTCAAACACGATGTGGTCAATCGCAAAGTGACCAACCGCAATGTGGCCAATTGCAAAGTAATCTTATTATTAATTTACGAAGACGTTCGCGAGCCCAGGCACGTCATCGTTTAAACAGGCACGAAAAATTAAAAAATGTAATTATAAATTTACGAAGACATTCGCGTGCCCCGGCAAGTGGTCCGTTTAAATGGACGCGAGAAATCTGATAATCTTATTATTAATTATCAAACACGTTTACAAACCCGGCACGTGACCGTTTAAATAGACGCAAGAAATTTAAATATCTTAATATTAATTATTAAACACGTTCGCAAGCCCGGCACGTGGTCGTTTAAATGGACGCGAGAAATCTGACAATCTTATTATTAATTATCAAACACGTTTACAAACCCGGCACGTGACCGTTTAAATAGACGCGAGATATTTAAATACCTTATTATTAATTATTAAACACGTTCGCAAGCTTGGCACGTGGACGTTTAAATGGACGCGAGAAATTTAAATACCTTATTATTAATTATCAAACACTTTCACAAACCCGGCACGTGACCGTTTAAATAGACGCGAGAAATTTAAATATCTTATTACTAATTATTAAACACGTTCGCAAGCTTGGCACGTGGTAGTTTAAATGGACGCGAGAAATTTAAATATCTTATTACCAATTATTAAACACGTTCGCAAGCTTGGCATGTGAACGTTTAAATGGACGCGAGAAATTTAACAATCTTATTGTTAATTATAAAACACTTTCACAAGCCCGGCTCGTGGTCGTTTAAATGGACGCGAGAAATCTGATAATCTTATTATTAATTATCAAATACGTTTGCAAACCCGGCACGTGACCGTTTAAATGAACGCGAGAAATCTGATAATCTTATTAATTATCAAACACGTTTACAAACCCGGCACGTGGTCGTTTAAATGGACGCGATAAATTTAAATATTTTATTGTTAATTATTAAACACGTTCGCAAGCTTGGCACGCGGACGTTTAAATGGACGCGAGAAAGTTAAATACCTTATTATTAATTATTAAACACGTTTTCACAAGCCCGGCACGTGGTCGTTTAAATAGACGCGAGAAATCTGACAATCTTATTATTAATTATCAAACAAGCCTGGCAAGTGATCGTTTAAATAGGCGCAAGAAATTTAACAATCTTATTTTTAATTAACAAAGACTATCGCAAGCTTAAAAACGTGATCGTTTAATTAGGGGCAGATTTTACAATTTTATATTTAGTTATCAAAACTATTGCGAGACCCAGCACGTGGTCGATTAAATAGGCGCGTGGAATTTAATAATCTTATTTTTAATTATAAAAACCATCGTTAAACCCGGCACGTGGTCGCTTAAATAGGCGCAAAAAATTTATTAATCTTATTATTAGTTAAGTTAACAAATACGATTGCGAGCTCCGGCATGTTTTCGTTTAAATAGGTTCGAAAATGTTAACAATGAGGTACGCACGTATGCCTTTCACGAGTCTTCGACGGTAGGAAATTGCTTTTTCAGAAATTTTAATTTATAAGAAATAATAAAATGCACGCCATGTATGCCTCTTGCGAATTTTCGATTGTAGAAAGTTACTTTTGTAAAAATTTTTAGTTATTTTTAACCGTAAATGTTCAAAATTTTTTAGCTCGAAAATTAATTTGTACATACAAAGATTTGTTTTCGCAAACGCTATTTGGACTTTTTACTCGCGCTTTTACACGATATCTCATTGTATTTGACAAATTATCTTTCCGTTGGTTTGTTTAGTTTTGTTATTTTATTATTGTAGATTTTCCTTCAATCTTTAATAAGATTGAACGAATTCCCTGTAGCCCCTTCACGCATTTAAAGCGTCCTTCGTAAGCTCTTCCGCAGTGCCACCTCCTACTAACACGGGTACTTTAAATTTATATTTTATTCACTGAAAGAAATATGTGTTAGACACCACACAAAATTATTCTCATGCGTCACATGCATTTATAAATATGAATTTAAGCATGCAATATACACGACCGTATTTAAAAGAAAACTATCCATGCTATTCGCAGATTTGCCAGAGATAAAAAAAAGAAATTTTCCTTCTCTTGCCGACTGATGACAGCCAGCGGATAAGCGTATAAGTAATTTTACGCTTTTTGAAACAATGGGCGAAACGCGTCACGAAGGGCTATTGTACTAATTAAATTAATAAAAAAATGAATTTAATATTTACTAAAATATTTACTTTGTCTCTATTTTATGCACGTAATGATACGCGCGTTCAAAAAGTAAAAAGATAACAATTAATAAAAATTTTCTATTACTCTATCATTGTCTAACACTTTTTGCGAGCGTATGATTTCTTCTCCCTCTATGTTAAGTTTAAAAATTTTTTTTAATTTTAGATGTACACACAATTTGTGCAAAATTTCCGTTTTGTCGTGGAACAAAATACTTCCGAATGTCAATAATCAATCGCGTCAACAATCAATTCATTTCGATCAACTTTTTATGTTCAAATTCTTGTAATTATTATATATAATTACAAGATATCATATTCATGCAATTATTATATATAATTTTGAACGTAATAGTATAATATGCCTTTAAATGTGAAATAATAGAGCAGACAACAATATTGAATTGTATCAAAGAGCATGGAAAAGTATAACTAAAACGAATAAATTATATAATAGTTAAAATAGAAATTCAACATTCATTATTTTACGACATTTTTGGTAATATAGAAATTCTCGAGTCTCTAGAAATTTTCTATCCAAGCCAGTAAATTTTATAATAATAAATATATTTAAAAAATTCTATGATAAGTAAAATATTGCTGTAACAATAATCGATCCACCAGAGTCGTGCAGCGACAAAATCAAATAACACGCAACACGACTTGTTGTCGATAGAAATGAATAGATTATATATTTTATGTATCTCTCAATGCTGAAATCTATTCTTATGATAAGAAACAAGTATATTATTAATTGTTACTTACCTATATCGTTGTACTCAGGTCACGATCGTCCTTCCTCGGATCTCGCTTGTCCTTCGACGAACTACGATCAATCTCCGTCGCCTCCGTCTGATGACCGATGACCTCGGTCTTCATGCTCTGATTGACGAATGTAGGCTCGATGAGAATTCGATGCCTCGATTGGACTTTGGCTGAACGCGCGCACTTATTATTTTACGCACTTAATTATACACTATGCGTATTGTTGCTGAACGCGCACTCGCTATATGTGTACTGCCGAATACGCATTCATTGTGCGTGCTGCTCGAATACTTGATCGATAGAGTTCGATTTAATTTCGAATTAAAGCTCGCGACGCCGGACACGCGCTCCGCAGTACCATCCACACGCCGTGCCAAGTCCCTACTACTGAGCGCCCCGCACCCCGCTAGCGCGCCGCGGTAGCCGTCGAGCCGCCGAGCCCGGTCTCCCCACTCTCCGCACGCGCATGCGCGCGCCGCTCAGCCTGCGGCTCGTAGCTCGCTTCGCCGCGGGAAATAATACCGCGACATTAATTCTTTTGTATTAAATTTTGAAGGGAATAATCACGCACGAAATTAAGCATATCATATATTGTACTGCGTGCTCTTCGAAAATAACGAGTATACCGACGACAATACCGTAGAAACACAGTTCGATCCACATATTACTTATTATATGTATCA